AAAAAGGGTGTTACACACCCTGCCTCAGTCCCCGACCAAGAATAATCAGCCCAACCATATTCACATTCATAACAACTTAGTAGTCTACTGTATCCACGCACATCATGATCCACCCTATCCACTTCTGACTAAAACCCATAGTGATTAGAACATCCTTTAGGTAATCCCAATCAATCATGTCATACGCTTTTCTAATATCAATCTTAAGAGTTATATCCCCTTTCTTTCCTTTAGTTGTAGACTTCATATAATGAACCACCTCAATAGTTTTCATAGCTTTATCCAAAATAGATCTCCCAGGAACAAAAGTCGATTGGTTATCTAAAATACACTTGTCGAGAGTTCTCTTCAAGTAATTTGCTAGCACTTTTGATATCACTTTATACAAGACAATGCACAGAGCAATCGGTCTCCAATCTTTCATGGAAGTTTGAACTTCTCTTTTAGGAATTAGTATAATAACACGTATAATATTTATCTAGAATAATATCATACAAGTGTTAATTATTGGTACTATCATAACATAAGTTCCTAGCGGCATCTTTATATACATGTCAATAAAACCAAATACACATATGGCACATGTCATACAATAATGCCCAAATAAAAATCTAAGAACTATGTACAATATCTTCAATTATACAAAATCTACAGCGGAAGATTACAATAAGAGTTTCCCTTGAAACATCAATGCACAACTCCTTTTGTATACTAAACCTGCAAACAATACCTAAAAAACAACAACAATAACAGCGTGAGATAATAATCTCGGTAAGTTACATATCTCATAGGTTCACTCGGCTCTACAAGGTTCTAATCAAATCTTAACTCAAGTCAAAAGGGGGAAAAAGAATTGAGTACACCAAACTCACAATGTATATAAACATGTCCTTTGATTTCATCAACTCAAACAATCACTAATCGAAAACCATACCAAGGCATTTTTACCCGGCCAACCCTACGTCTAGGATTATCCACACGAGTCACGGATCCTTATTTCATAGGTATTTTCCCCGACCAACCCTACTTCTAGGATTATCAACACGGGTCATGGATCTTATCTCATACTTTGACATACGCATGAACTTTGGATTCTAAGTTATGACATCCACCTCAAGAATCTTCGTTTCTTACGGGACTCCAAACCCATTTCAAACATTTTACCCATATGGGATTCTAACCCACCACGAGATCCACCGCTTTTGGGGTTCAAATCTAGGTCATTCAAGTATCGGTGCATACATCCCAATTCTTACTCTATATAAGCATCGCAACTTAGGACGGCACAAACAAGGGTTATTTCGGATTACGTGATTATATAGAAGCACATTGTGATTGTATTTGACAATCACAAGGTGATCACATTCACCTTAACCACATAACAATGCAACATGTTCCATACAAGGCATCTCACTCTCAAATATGGCGATCATTCATCCATGATACTCACTTAGGTATCATATTGAATAAATGTTGTCGTGTGATGTTATCTAAGTCATATTTGTAACCTAAGTTATCTTTCTAGTTCATTTATCTAGTCATAAACCTAGGTTTCTTCACTCATCTTCATAAGGTTTTAAACATGTTATTTCACATTCAACACAACAATAATGTTTAGCATACATCATAATATGATTCATATCACTCATAAGGTACACAATGTAATATAACATGGTATAAGAATAACAATCATCTACGTTAGCGTTCCAACACATTTGTCTACATCCAAAATGGAGTTACAACACTCAAATTATCTATCAATCTAACCTAATCTAGATTTAGGTTAGCAATTATTCATTGCACAAGTATTCAACAACAAAAGCCTTGGCCTAGTGGTAAGACATTTGCTCCATAATCAAAAGGTATTGGGTTCGACTCTTGGTGAAATCACATTTTATTTTTCAAGGAATTTGGTTAATAGCTCGACTTGGGTTCAACTCTTGGGGGAAAAGCACATTTTATTTTTCAAGGAATTTGGTCAATAGGTCGACCTAAGCAAGTTATGTGTCGACCTATAAAGGTCTTAGGTCGGCCTATAAGAGGCGACACAAGGATAATGGCTACAGGCTTCAATATTGAAACGTGGGTGTCGACCTATATTGAAAGGAAAACTTCTATAGGTCGACCTATAACAATATTTTCACATAAAAACTCAACTTTTGATGCATGATTCCTTTTAAGACCATTCTAAAACATGTTCCTACTGCACCTGCATAATTTCTTCTAACATCATGGCATTCAATCTACCATTTTCACATAATATGATTCTTCAACAACAAGTAAACATTGATTTTTCAAGATTATGAACACATGGTTAACTCATGGTTCATGGAAATTTTCATGATTAACCTAGAATACTTATCATGTTATCATGGATTCACTCATTATTTTATGATTCAATCAACAAAGCCTTAAATCTTAAATATCACGAGTTTTTAACTAGAACCCACCATAGGAATAGATGAAGAGATTGTTGTTGCAAGATATAGAGAGGAGATGGCGATGATGATACCAAGTTTTGATTCCTCCAAGTTCTTCTTGTTCTTATTCCCACAAGTTTCTTCTTTTTTCTTTCTTAAGTTTCTTTGCTAAGCTTTAATGATTCAAGGAGATGATGATGAAATTGAGATAAAAATGAGATGATTGGTGGTGATGATCATGATCTCCATGGTTTCCTTCCTCTTCTTTCTTCCTCTCATTCTCTTTTTTTCTTATCTTCTTTTATTTCTCTTTTCCTTTTCTAATAACTCTTTCTCTTTCTCATTCTTCTTATCCTCTTCTTTTCTCACCCACATATGTCTAACAGTGTGGTCTGGATACTGAGGAAGTAGGGACTTATCAGATGGACCTCCTTTGAATTCCTCTGGCTTGGCATCCTCAACAACCTCACCCTCTGAAGGTGGCACTGGATCAGCAGGATCATCAGCGGGAGGTGCCACCGGATTAGCAGGAGGTGGCACAGGTGCATCACAAAGCCTGCGAGAGGATGGAGGAAGTGACACGTCAACTGGTGAATCATGTCTCTTACGTAAAGAAAAAGAAGGTGGAGTGGCCTGAAATGAAGATGGAGTGGCCTGATATGTAGATGGAGTGGCCTGAGGTGAAGGTCGAGTCCTAGGAGAAGATTGAGCCCCAGAAGTCGACTCATCTGCCTGAGTAGATGTACCTGCTACCTCAGGAACATGTTGACTTTGTTCTCGTCGAACAGATGCGTGTTGGGAAACCCGTCCAAGTCTCAGTCTGTCGACTATGTCATTCATTATGCCTGCAAGGTAAAATTAATCATATAATTAGTTTACGCAAAAGAATAACACAAACAAGAAAATTATAAATAAATAAAAAATAAATCAAACTGAGGAAATTCTGGAGATATATCTACGGAAACATACATCTCCGGAATTTTCCAAAGTATATAAAACGTTAAACTTTTTCGGAGATGTATCTCCTAAAATTTCAATGATTCAGAGGTCGCAACAATGGCGTTCTCTGGTATTCAAAATGTGAAAAATAAAACTCTGATCGTCCATTAGCCAACAAACAATACATACATTTACACTAAACTATGTTTCATGTGAATTAAAATGAAAAGTGTGGGAGGAGAAGAGTCTGGCGCGATAATAACCTCCAAAATATTTCAGAGGTATATCTCTGAAATATTTCAACGTTCACTTAAGTTTTGCAACGTCTGAAAGTATATTTTCAGAATATTTTGACGTTCAATTGAGTTTTTGTGCGTCCGGAGATATATCTCTGAAATCAAGGAGCATATATGAAAATTCATATGGTGTAAAAAAAATCTATAGAATGCAAAAAGAAATCGTCAAAATTATTTCAGTCCAAAATCCTTCCATCACAAAATTTGATGATGTGCTTAAGCTTGAACATTCTGGTTCATGTTCGGTTGGTCATTCAAATAAAAAACATTAAAGAAAAAACCAAATCCATAATTATAAAATAAAAAAATTATATTACAAAAAAAATAATAAATGTACAAAGTCGATTCAAAGATTCAGACAATGCAGACCAAACGAAAAAAAACAAATTATATTACAAAATCTAGCTAACTTTTTCCCTTTTATTTTGATAAAAAGAAACATGCTTAAAAATATATTTCACGAGCATATCCAAAATCCACACATTAAATACATTAGTACTATGTACTACTTTAGTTAAGAGATTAAAAATATATTTCAAGAGCATATCCAAAATCCACACATTAAATACATTAATGCTACTTTAGTTTAGAGATTAAAGTTAAAAACATTAGTACTACTTTAGTTAATAGATTAAAGGTAATACTCTTTCAATATAAATTAGTTAGCACCATCATTCAATAAAATTATAACACTTTGACATATCATTAATTAGCACTATCCTCCAGTAAAATTATAACAATGTCATATCATACTAATATTTTAAAACTAATATTTTAAAATTAAATATGTAATTTCACGAGATAGACGTTCATGAATGGTTGACACGGTAGTCGTGCATTTTCTTTTTACTTGGTGCATATTTTTTTCTCTTCAGTTAATATATTGAAATTTGATTGGTTGACACGGTAAGTCGTGCATTTTCTTTTTATTTGGTGCATTTTTTTTCTCTTCAGTTAATATATTGAAATTTGAAAAAGATGCTTATAAACAGGAAAATGGATAGTACGAACGAAAATCTTGTGAGTAGAGAATATAATGTTGAACTAAAAGCTTGTAAAGAAAAATAACTCCAATAATCAAAGAAACACACAAGTACGAACGAAAATCGAATTGGTGTTGAACAAAAATAATACACATAATGTGAGGGTTATAATCCCTCCTCAAAATCTATGTTTACTTTTCTTACACTCCCTCTATAGAACTGGTTGTTGTAACCAAAACAATGATCGCAAAAATCCAGCCAACAATTACCATACAATGCATACAATGCACAACATTACCGACAATCATTTGCAATATGCCGATTAGCATTCAGAGTCGCTCAACGAAAATCTTTCACTCGTCTCATTTGCCGAGAAGTCTTGATCGAACCGAGTCCAAATCTATTGCATTATTAATGCTGCAAATGTTACAGGTTTTTATAAAGTATAAGAATAACAACTTCATAAAGAAAATTAATAAATAATTATGTCGATGATACAAAAAAAGCTGGAACTTCGCGTAAAGTTTGACACAATTTCTCATATCCGTAAAAGAGACCGATAGTCTAAAAGCCCAAAGGTTAATCATAAAAAGAAAGAGACTCACCAGTACATTGTGACTCCATCTACAGAAGCAAGCAACTTCTTGCACATCCAATCTGGCACAATTTTTTCCAAAATCTCAATCTGTTCTTCAACTTCTCCTATTGGGAGGAAAAGATTAGTTAGCTAATTTGTTTAATACTGAGAACCCATGTGCATTACAATAAATAGAATTAGAACATACTAGTAGTCTCAACAAACTCTGAACAGTTAATCATTATCTTTTGCAGGAGCTCCTCTTTTGTGATTTCATTTGTTTTGACAGAGCAAAATATAGAGTCAATCACATTAACCAGTTCCACTAATGATGGAGGATTGTCATCTGATGCATCCAAACTAATTTGATTTTGGTTGATTTTCTCGAAGGAATAACAAAGATTCTCTTGTATCTGCATTGAGAAAACCAATTAACAAAGATTTTCTCCAAAGCTTCACTTTTTCATGCATGAATATATGATTGATGAATGTCGCACAAATTAGTTGGAGTTTAACATGAATTACTAAAATGGAGGAAAAAATTGCTCTCTTTCCAAGTTCCTCCGGCAATGATAGATTGAAAGGTACAAAATTGAATAGTAAGTGAATATCAAAGTATGATTCTAAGAGCCATTTAAAAATCAAAACCAAGACAAGAAAGCATACCTCTCGAGGCAGGGTAGCTTTGCTAGATTCTAACATTACTCTATTATCCAAATCACCATTGCCTTCTGTGAGTGTAAAGTCGAGCGCTCTTTTTGCGGGCTTAAAGCCTGACATAGACTTTTGAGCAGACATTTTCTGAGGCTTAACATCAGAACCGAGCACCAATCTCTCAGGTGCTGACTGTGCAGGTGTCTGTGTTAACAAACTATCAGCGCAAGAGACGATTTTCAAATCAGGGCTTTCAGCGCTACAGCGGCTAACAGAACGCGGAGAGCATATCTTATGTTCTGATGGTGTACTAATAACATTTGCCTGAAAAGACATTGACAATGATTCCTTCTGCTTGCCACTTTCTGCATTAAGATTACTCTCACAATCAGAAAATGGTGAACATTCTTTCTGCCATGAGCTTTCACTTTCTTGGTTGTCTAGGGAGTCAGATTCATCCGATGACAGAGAGTTTTCAGATGATGAAAAGCTCTGAACTTGTTTAGTCTGGACCGTCTGGTCAGTAGCATTCTTCTGATAAAAACGTCTTTTAAAAGATGGAGTCAAATGTAAGTTGTTCAGCTGCTCTACAACTTCATTGGAAGTCAATGAAAGTTCTGCTGCAAAATCTGCAGGCCCTTGATTGAAAGCCAAATTACAAGCTTCTTGGCTAAAGGGCTCTGGTAATCTGAACTCTGGAATCTTAGTAACCTTATCCACACAAAAAGAAAAGAAAAAAAAATTAAAGTAAGAAATCAAATGTTTTGCATAACTCAAACTTTCCAATTTGTCTACTTAACTAAGAACTGAAATAAATATAGCTGAACTAGATCGAAGGAAAAGCAGTTACAAAAAAGTAAGCTTAACCGGTAGCCACAAAATTTCATAATTTCTCATAAACATCAACCCCTTTTCAATTAAATCTCGTATAATACTTTCTTACATTACATCAGCACATTTTCAACTAAGTATAACATGCTTACATCTACCTACAATATGGAATCACAAATCACGACAAAGATGCAGAGGATCAAAACCTAAATGCTACCACAGTACTAATCTTGAATTCCATAATCCCCGGACATTGTTACAATAAATGACAGAGCATTATATTGATAATGATCGACCTTGTCAGATATAAAACTCAGACACAACCAATGAAATTCCAGAACAAAACTAACGGTCGTATGAGATCCGATACCACAGTTAAGATATTGTAAATTGCTCCTTCACAGAAAATACAATTAACAAGGACAACACTGCAAAATAAAAAATGCTACCTGAGGGTGCAGATTAAAGAAATTAATCAGCCTGGAATTAAAATGTCGTCTAAGAGCTATATCAGCAGACTGTTCAGAGTGATCTTTTACAACTTCGAAAACCAAGGTGATCTTCAAATCCGGCTTCACACACAAGCTCTTCTTATCAATAACAACCACCTTTTCAATGTCTATACCTTCAGGGAGTATATACTTCATCTGCGCTAGATCAGCAAGTGAGAAGTTTCTGAAAAAAAAAAACACACGCTAGTCATTTCCATAATCCATCAATCAAAAGAAATGGATCCTCTATAGCTAGAAGTTAACTGCATATGGTCCATTTCAGTGCAGCCAACCGGGGATAGCAGAAAACAGCAATTTGTTAAAATTCCGATAAGCTGTAGCTCACAAGACTTTAAAAAAACGACCTGTTACCGCGAAAATGGCCGCGACAAAAACGGTACCGGAAGGTGTCGATACCGATACCATTATTCACTGTTTTTGTAATAAAGAACAAATTGTCGTTAGTTCACGCCGCAACGACCACAATCAATGTTGCAACACCTGTTCCGACTGAAATCGCGAAAGCCTTAATGCGACCACGGCTGTTATTTAAACCTAGTCTCTATTTGACAAAACTTTGTACTAAATTGTGTATTTCATATAAAAAACAAAATAATCACCTTTTGGCAAGAACTTCAACCTTGTTGCAAATATTCAGAAAAGTTGGAGACTTTTTACGCATATGCAGCAATCTAAGTGAACAACTCATATGCCTAAACAATTCAGCAATGTTCCTGTAACTGAATTCAAAAAAACACATAAATTACTTTTTTTTTTCTACAAAACATCAAAAAAAATTCAAAAAACAGATTGGTTATTCAATTAGGGTTCTCACTCCTCTGGAAGATGGGATAGTGGATCCTTGAATTTGTTGGGTAACAGTTCTTCACTCTTCTTCTCTGGAGTGGGACACACAATTGATTCATCAACTGGTTGAAGAATCTTCTCAGGCTTGAAATTCGAAGCTTCTTTCACTGATTCATCACACACTTTTGGATCCATTCTTCAGCAACGGAACTAACAAAAACGCTTCAACAAGAACAAAGAAAAAAGTGTGAAGAGCAGTGAAACGAGTATGAGAATTGAAAATGGAAAAGACGTTGAAGGGAAATGTGGGTTGAGAAAGAGCGGTTACCTGAATTTAAACCCTAGCAGAGCTTGCTTGGTTGAAGAGGGAAAATGGTGTATTCACAACGTTCTGAAAACTGGGAAAATGTGTAGTTTTGAAAAAATAGATATTTAGATTTTTTTTTAAATATGGAGTTTTTTTTTTTTTTAATTTTTATAAACGAAGGTCAAGTCCCAAACGAAGGTCAAGGTCAAATTCCTCGTGTCATTTGTTAGTCTTACTAACTCTTTGGTACCACTTATTATGCTCATTATTTGATTTTTCTTTTGCAGTAAACTTCTCACTATATGCATCTTCCAAATCCCAGCACTTCTCTTGACTTCATCAAGGGTTGAAATTAAATTACCACGGCCAATCCAAGCCTCTGTTAAATATAATTCATTGTGATTTGATATGATTAGATTTGATATCATATGATTAGATTTGATATCATATGATCAATTTGATATGATATGATTAGATATCATATGATTTGATTTGATATCATATGATTAGATTTGATATCATAGGATTATATTTGATTTAGAATATTTTGGGTCTTTTATGTTTTGGGCTAGTGTAAACCTAAAACTATAAATAGGGTGTCTTACTTTGTATTCTACATCACAACAGAACAGATTTCAGAGTTGCAGTTAGCAAGTGAAAGTTCAATAAGAAATCCCACAGTTGTGGGTAACACATTCTCTCCAAATACTTCTTCTCTCATTCTTCTCTTTCTTGTGTGTTCTTCTTTTCTTCTGTTGTTCTTGATAATTACTTGTTATTACCATCATTATCATATTCTGGGTTTGTTCATCAATCTTGAGATCAAGATTGAAGGGAATTCTTCATAGGGTGTGAGGTGAATTTCCAACATCTAGTATCTAGAGCTCCGGTTGAAAGATTCAAGGAAGGAAGATAGTGATGGCGATGAACTATCCGAACGGAAACTTTCCGGCGACCCTGCCAATTCTCAAGAAAGACAATTATGAGAATTGGTGCAAGCAGATTAAGGTGATTTTCTGTTATCAAGATCTTTGGGATCTTGTGAAGGACGGAGTAACATCGCTTGGGGAGAACGCAACGGAGGCGGAAAAGGTTGCGCACAAAGAATTGAAGAAGAAAGATTATAAAGCACTCTTTATAATTCATCAGTGTGTTGATCCTGATAACTTTGAAAAGGTTAGTGATGTTGATTCAGTAAAAGAAGCATGGGAGATTCTTGAAAAGTCGTTTGGAGGTGCAGAGAAGGTGAAAGAGGTGAGGTTACAAACTCACAAGAGAACCTATGAGTTGCTTCAGATGGAAGACAATGAAAGCATTACAAATTTCTTCACCAGAGTTACGAAGTTGGTGAATCAAATCAAAGTATGTGGAGAAGCGCTGACGATGAAAGCAGTTGTCTCAAAGATTTTGAGATCGCTGGCTCCAAAATTCGACCACATGGTAGTTGCCATAGAAGAGTCGAAAGATCTGTCAGTGTTGACGAAGGAAGAGCTTCAAGGGACTCTTGAGTCTCATGAACAGAGGATGGCTGAAAGAGCTGCAGGAAAGTCGAAAGATATGGCTTTGCAGGCACAGACGGAAAAGGAGAGAAAAGGCAAATGTAGCTAGAATGGCAACAAAGGAGGAAACCAGTTGAATCAAAAGAAACCTTGGAACCAAGGCAACCAAAGAGGTGGTGCTGCAGGTAAAGGAAGAGGTGGTGATCGAAAGACAGACAAAAGCCACATTCAATGTTTCAATTGCCAGAAGTATGGTCATTATGTTAGTGATTGTCCAGAAAAGAAGAGAAATCAAGAGACTGATGCAAAGCTGGCGAAACATGAAGAAGAAGAAACGTTGCTAATGGTCACAACAAACGATGAAGAAAGATTTCAAGATCAGTGGTACTTGGACTCAGGATGCTCATCACACATGACTGGAAGGAAAGATTGGTTTGTCAACATGAAGCCCTCGTCGAAGAATACGGTGAAGTTTGCAAATGACAACACTCTAGCAGCTGAAGGTGTTGGTGATGTTCTGATTATGAGGAAAGATGGCAAAAGGTCAACAATTTCCAATGTGTTGTACATACCAGGCATGAAGAGTAATTTGCTTAGTATAGGGCAACTTGTCGAAAAGAACTACAAGGTAGTTGTCGAAGACAAGATGATGAGAGTCCTCGACGCAGGTGGTAGACTAATCTTGAAGGCTCCAATGTCTCAGAATAGGACCTTCAATATTGGACTCAATATGATGGAGCACAAGTGTTTAGCAACTGCAGCCACTGAAGTCGAAATAGAAGTTCGACAGGAACCAGTTGCAGATGAAGCAGGTTCAAGCAGACCTCGACAAACTAGACACATGCCTGCAAGGTTGCAAGAATTTGTAATCACATCAGATGATGTAGTCGATGAAGAGGGTGAGCTGGTACGTTATGCTTTTTACGCAGATGTCGAACCAGTCAATGTAGCTGAGGCATTGAAAGATTCGAAGTGGGTGAAAGCAATGATTGAAGAGTTAGAGTCCATCAAAGTCAATGATACCTGGTCACTTGTCGAATTGCCGCAAGGCAAGAAGGCAATTGATGTGAGGTGGGTTTACAAGGTGAAGGTAAATCCTAAAGGAGAAGTAACTCGACACAAAGCGAGACTTGTGGCGAAAGGATTTCTTCAGAAGGAAGGAATCGACTTCGATGAAGTATTCGCACCTATTGCTAGAATCGAAACAATCAGGTTGGTTGTTGGTCTAGCAAATATGAACAACTGGCACACATGTCAGATGGACGTGAAGTGTGCATTCCTTAATGGCCCCTTAGAAGAAGAAGTTTATGTTGCACAACCAGCTGGGTTTGTGAAACAAGGCGAAGAAAGAAAGGTGTACAGGCTTCATAAAGCCCTGTATGGACTTAAGCAAGCTCCAAGAGCTTGGAATAAGAAAATTGACAGCTTCTTAAGGGAGAAGGAATTTGTGAAGTGTACAACTGAGCATGGAGTATATGTAAGAAGAAGCAATGGCGAATTGCTTATACTATGTCTCTATGTTGATGATTTGTTGATAACAGGGAGTTCCAAGAAGGAGATCGAAGATTTCAAACATGACCTGAGTAAGGAGTTTGAAATGTCAGACTTGGGAAATCTCTCATATTTCCTTGGCATCGAATTCTACAAGACAAGTAGAGGTTTGATGATGCACCAAAGAAGATATGCAGGTGAGATACTCAAGAGATTTGAGATGCAAGATTGCAACCAAACTTCGACTCCAGTTGAGCCCATATTGCAACTGTCGAAGGATTCAGATAAAGATGATGTCGAACCAACCCAATACAGAAGACTTATTGGGTCACTTAGATACCTTTGCCACACAAGGCCTGACTTAGCATACAGTGTTGGTATGATAAGTAGATTCATGCAGAAACCAAAGGTATCACACCTAGCAGCGGCGAAGAGGATACTGAGGTATCTGAAAGGAACTCTCGACTATGGCATTTTGTTTCCAGCAGCTGATGAAGGAAAAGAATGCAAGTTAGTGGGATACACAGACTCCAGTTGGTGTAGTGATGCTGAGGATCGAAAATCCACAGCTGGATATGTGTTTATGTTAGGTGGTGCACCAGTTGCTTGGAATTCGAGAAAGGAACCAGTGGTGGCATTATCATCATGCGAAGCAGAATATATAGCTGCTTCCCTTTGTGCATGTCAAGCAACTTGGATGGTGAACTTGGTCAAAGAAATCACAGGGAAGAACCATGGAGCAATTACCATGAAGATAGACAACATGTCAGCTATCAACTTGGCAAAGAATCCAATAGCTCATGGTCGAAGCAAGCACATCGAAATGAGGTTACATTATCTCCGAGAGCGGGTAGCAGAAGGGAAGATGAAGTTGGAACACTGCAAAACTGAGAATCAGATTGCAGATATCATGACGAAGGGAGTGCAGGTCGAAGCCTTCAGAAGACTAAGGGCCATGATGAATGTAGACAGTTTAGACACAATGAATTAGGTGGTGTGTTAAATATAATTCATTGTGATTTGATATGATTAGATTTGATATCATATGATTAGATTTGATATCATATGATTAATTTGATATGATATGATTAGATATCATATGATTAGATTTGATATCATATGATTAGATTTGATATCATATGATTAGATTTGATTTAGAATATATTGGGTCTTTTATGTTTTGGGCTAGTGTAAACCTAAAACTATAAATAGGGTGCCTTGCTTTGTATTCTACATCACAACAGAACAGATTTCACAGTTGCAGTTAGCAAGTGAAAGTTCAATAAGAAATCCCACAGTTGTGGGTAACACATTCTCTCCAAATACTTCTTCTCTGATTCTTCTCTTTCTTGTGTGTTCTTCTTTTCTTCTGTTGTTCTTGATAATTACTTGTTATTACCATCATTATTATATTGTGGGTTTGTTCATCAATCTTGAGATCAAGATTGAAGGGAATTCTTCATAGGGTGTGAGGTGAATTTCCAACAGCCTCAAAAAGCATATCTTTGTAAGACTTTTTTATAACCCAAGCACACTCAAACTTGAACTCATATGCTCTATCAAGCCTTTCATCATCCTTCAAAGTGATGATAGTCAGGTGATGGTCAGAAAAGTATACTATTGTAATCACTTTCACTTGCGCATATGGGAATATCGCCTTCCATAAATCATTGCAAAACACTTTGTCCAACTTTTCATACACCCTTGTACCACCATTATGAACAGGGCCACTCCTGATATATTTATGACCAATAAAGTCAATATTCATGAGATTACATGAATTGATTATATCCCTGAAAAGGTTGCACTTCCGGTAAGAAATTGGCGTGCCTCCTCTTTTATCCGCTGCTACTATGATATCATTGAAATCGCCACAAAAAATTCACCTTATCTTTACT